TCTATTACTAGAAGTAGAAGGTGTTGGCTATTTGTTTGAATTCTTCTTTGGCGATTTCTCCCTTTTTCCACTTCTTGTGCATGTCTCTTTTGATTTGAATGCAATATTCCTGCTTCTTGTCAGGGGGTTGGACTGGATGGCCCATGACGTCTCTTCCAACTCTTTGATTCTATGATTTTACTATTATTATTATTATTATTATTATTATTATTATTATTATTATTATCTACTATTATATTTACTTATATCCTGCTTCTTCTCTCCTTACGGACTCGGAGTTTTATTTCTGTTGTTACTACTACCTTGGGAACCTGCCGGTGCCCGGGTTATTTGAGAAAGGCTTTTTTGTGCTTTAAGTTTAGTCTAGATCTAATATCGGCTGGGTTCAGTGGGTACGGGTGAGCTACAACTCCCATTTGCAAGTCTCATCGTCTATAGTCCATCCTCCTCCAAACTTCAGAACGTATAGTGGGTCATGGGAAGGGGGCCTGTGTGATCCGTCATTCGTCGAGGTTGCAGTGGTCTCTGGAAGTGAGTGAAGGTATTACAATGGAGAGAGAAAGAAACCCTGGGTGAACTACAGCTCCCATATGCAAATCCCATCGTCTATGCTCCATCCTCCTCCAAACTTCAACAGGATGTATAGTGGGTCACGGGAAGGGGGCCTGTGTGATCCGTCATTCGTCGAGGTTGCAGTGGTCTCTGGGAGTGAGTGAAGGTACTGCAAGTCCCATCATCCATGGCAAGTGTGCTGCAGATCCAGCGTTGGCTGGGTTCGCGGTGTTTTCTGGAGGTAGGTGAACTACAACTCTTCTAAATCAAGGTCAGTTCTCCCCGCAAACCTGGTCATAGGGATTCTGCATGGGTCCATTACTGAAGGCGGTCCTAGTGCTCTGTCTTGATGTAGGGTGAACTACAACTTCCATCCTGCTGAGTCAGTCCCCCAAACCCCTCCAGTCTGTTCAGTTGCGGATCCAATTCCTCTGTGTTTGCTGAGTGCCATAGGAAAGGGTTAAACAGTGGGCGGGGTATGCAAATAGCACACCACTGGAGAGAGAAAGGAACCCTGGGATGCCCACCTGTGGTGGAGGAAACATGTGGACACCTGCGCCACACACACATTTCCCACTTTTATTATGTGTATAAATAGATAAGATATAGGATATTATTAAATTTACTTATATCCTGCTTCTTCTCTCCTTACGGACTCTGAGTCTCTCTGTATCAAAGTCCAGCACACTCGTTAAGCCGAATTTGGCCCGTGCCAGCCTCCCCTGTTGACCTTTTCTTCCTCTCGTTCCCTTTCTCCCTCTCTTTTAGGGAGTTCCTCGCTCCTGGCGCTGCTGGTGCTGCCGCTGGTGGCTCTGCTGGCCCCACTGAGCAAGGGCTGCCCGGTGGACTGCGTCTGCTACCCGGCCCCCATGACGGTCAGCTGCCAGTCGCACCACTTCCTCGGCGTCCCGGAAGGTATCCCGGCCGAAAGCGAGCGCGTCTTCCTCCAGAACAACCGCATCTCCCTCCTCCTGCGGGGCCACTTCACCCCAGCCCTGGTCACCCTCTGGGTCTACTCAAACAACCTCACCTTCGTCGACCCTGAGGCCTTCCACGGCTTCGTCCACTTGGAGGAGCTCGACCTCGGCGACAACCGCAACCTGCGAGAGCTGTCTCCGGAGACCTTCCGCGGCCTGACCCGCCTCCATGCCTTGCACTTGTACAAGTGCGGCTTGAGCGTCCTTCCGGACGGGCTGTTCAGCGGCCTGCACAACTTGCAGTACCTCTACCTGCAGGACAACCAGCTGGACTTCTTGCAGGAGGACCTCTTCCAGGACTTGGTCAACCTCAGCCACCTCTTCCTCCACGGCAACCAGCTCTGGAGCCTTCAACCCAATGCTTTCCGGGGGTTGGTGAACCTGGACCGGCTGCTTTTGCACCAGAACCGGCTCCGGAGTGTGCACCGCCGGGCTTTCCACGACTTGCGGCGCCTCACCTTGCTCTTCCTCTTCAACAACAGCTTGGCCGAACTCCCCGGCGAGGCTTTGGCCCACCTGTCGGCCTTGGAGTACCTCCGCTTGAACGGCAACCCCTGGCGCTGTGACTGCCGGGCCCAGTCGCTGTGGGAGTGGCTGCGCCGCTTCCGGGGGTCCAGCTCCAGTGCCGACTGCGCGTACCCCCCTCGGGTCCAAGGGATGGACCTCAAGGAGGTGAGCCCCGAGGAGTTCCGCGGTTGCGCCGAGTCGCAGCACCAGGTCAACGCCCCTCCGCGGGGGGATCAGCACCGCCACCAGCACCCCACGACGGAAAAGGGCAAAGACGGGCAGCGCCCGGGCTACCGGAAGCCTAGCAAGAACTGCACGCGGAGCCGCGGGCGGAGCAACAAGATGGCTTCCTCGCCGTGGAAGAACACCGACGGCGATGGGCTGGACTATGAGCACAAGTTGCCCCCGAAGCAAAAGGGGAAGTGTCCCCGGACACCCGTCCTGCCCCCTAGCGGGGTCCAGCAGGCCGCCGGAGGGACCAGGAGCCGAGGGGCAAAAGTCGCAACACTCGCTACTGCTGTCGGTGCTCCCATTTTGTTCGTCATCGCCGCCGTCTTGTCGGTGGCCATCGTCCGCTGATTCGCGTCCCGTTTTCGAGCATTTCGGCCTCTCTTTCTCGAGCCGTTTCCTGGAGGGGACAAACATGGCAAAACAATTCGGGATTACAAGCAATAATCCTCGCCTGTGCTTGGAATCGGCCACAAAACGCCGCTTCTCGAACGGGGCAGGGATGGGATTGCGAGGAGCGTCATCCTCGCTCCCATAACGTCGTAGCCCCTTCACATGTGTCTATGCCCGTAAAACAATTATCGTTTCCGGGGTCTTTTGAGGAGCCTTCCTTACAAATTGGAACTACAATTTGTCCCGTAAAACACAACAAGCCCCTTTGTTTATTTATTTATTTATTTATTTACACCCCGCTTTGCTTTCTCTCTCCATACGGAGACCTTTGCCCTCTGTATCTCCAGGAAGTAAACAATGCCAGGTTACCAGAGGTCGCTCCAAGGCAAACTCAATGGGTCTGCAAGGCCCAAAGCGGGATCTCCGAGGCCGCCGTTGACCCACAAATGGTGGCTTTTTCCGGCCCGCTTCCTTGCTCGTTTTCTCTCTCTCAGGATATTTCCTTTGTCCGCAAATAAGATGGACCAACAGGGCCAGGATTGGAGACTCGGGACGAAAAGCGACGTCTTTTTCTTGCTTTTCTTTTCCTTTTTTTTTTTTGTAACGTCGGTGTTCACCTTATCCAACGAAATAAATCGATGCACAGGTCGCGGCGGCTGCGGCGTCGGCCCCGTCCGGACCAGACTCTTCTCCCGAAGGAAGCTTTTTATATACAGACACAACTTCAACCAGGAAGAGGAGCCACGTTCGGAGACCAAAAGGATATCTATCTCTACGTGTGTTTTCTTTTTTCCCCCTTTTAAAGGGGGGGGGGAACCGTTCACTCTTTTGGTTCGAAGGACTCGTCGGAACCCAGAGCGCCCGCGTTTGGGTCCTTTTCTTCCCTCCGTATGCAATGAAATATGGGTCCGAGATGAGTACGATGGGACACGGATGATGTTTTGGGGAGTCGTCGGTGTTTATATATCCATAGAAAAGGAAAACGCAGACACGTTTTTGGGGGGGGGGGTTGTCTTATTTAAAAGTGTACAAAAGCAGTGTTTGACTTATGGGGATATAAGTGGGGGGAGAGGCATCTACACTATGGAATGAATGCAGTTTGACAACACTTTTGGTCCTAGTAGTTGTGATTTGGAACCGAAGGCGTACGAAGCAGAGGCTGGATATTTTCCTTCCTTCCTGGCAGAAATTGGGGGTGGACTGGATGGCCTTTGGGGGGACCCCATCCAACTCTAGGGCTGTACTTCTCTAGTTTCAAGGACTTTGGATGGATATCTGTTAGGAGGGCTTAGATGGTGTCTTTCCCTCTTGTATATGGCGGAAATGAGGTTGGACTGGATGGCCTTTGGGGGACCCTTTCCAACTCTAGGGTTGTACTTCTTTAGTTTCAAGGACTTTGGATGGCTATCTGTTAGGAGGGCTTAGATGGTGTCTTTCCCTGGCAGAAATGAGGTTGGGCTGGATGGCCTTTGGGGGACCCCTTCCACCTCTAGGGTTGTACTTCTCTAGTTTATAGGACTTTGGATGGCCATCTGTTAGGAGGGCTTGGATGGTGTCTTTCCTTGGCAGAAATGAGGTTGGGTTGGATGGCCTTTGGGGGATCCCTTCCAACTCTTTTAATGGTAGCGGGGTACAAATAAAGGTTTATTATTATTATTATTATTAATGAAGGTTGGATGGCCATCTTTCGGGAGGGATCGAATTGTGCCCCCTGCCTGACAGAATGAGGATAGCCTTTGGAGATCCCTTCCAACTCTAAAGCCTTAGTTCCCCATTTCTGTTAATATTCATGAAGGTTGGATGGTTATCTGTCGGGAGGGATCGAATTGTTTCCCTTACCTGAATGAGGATGTCCTTTGGGGGGATCCCTTCCAACTCTAAAGCCTTACTTCTCCACTTCTGTTAATATCCATGAAGGTTGGATGGCCATCTGTCGGGAGGGATCGAATTGTTTCCCCTGCCTGAGAGAATGAGGATGGCCTTTGGAGATCCCTTCCAACTCTAAAGCCTTACTTCTCCACTTCTGTTAATATCCATGAAAGTTGGATGGTCATCTGTCGGGAGGGATCGAATTGTCTCCCCTACCTGGCAGAATGATGGTCTTTGGAGATCCCACCCAATGCTAGAGCCTTACTTTCCCATATACCTAGTCTCTATGAATTTGGCTGGCCATCTGTCAGGAGGGATTAGAGGGTCCCTCCCAACGCTAGGATTCTATATCCACGGAGGTACAAAAGTGGCGTCAAACTGCATCCATTTGACAGTGCGGATGAGTGTTTTCAAACCGGTTTGAAAGGCTGGGGGATGGCTCCCGAGGAAATAAAGGCGACCCTTTTGGAAAAACCCCACCCGCAGAGGCCCTTTCGTCTCCCTCGACGCGTGTGCATGCTTGGTGTGCGTGTTTTCCTCCTTTGCTCAGTGCGTGTTTCCCGGCATGTAGGCCAGGAAGCGGGTCGGGCGAGGATGCCTTTGACTCACCAGGGCCCTAAGGACGTTCCCGGCAGCCATCGGAAGCGAGGCGCAGCACGGCCGGCCCCATCACAACACGCACAAACACGCATTCTCACCTGGCCCGGGAAGCAGGAGCATCGTCTCCAAGGAGTCATAAGATACCTGGAGACGGATATTCAGAGACAAAGCCCAAGCACTTGGGCCTAAGGTGCATATGTGCAGTCATTAAGTACATCTAAATATAATAATAATAACAATAACAATAACAACACATCTCTAATATCCCTTGGGGAGAGCCTGATATTCAGAAACGAAGCCCAGACACTTGGGCCTAATGTGTATGTGTGGTGTCGTTAAGTATATCTAAATATAATAATAATAATAATAATAATATATAATAATAATAATAATAATACATCTCTAATATCCCTTGGGGAGAGCCTGATATTCAGAGACGAAGCCCAGACACTTGGGCCTAAGGTGCATGTGTGCAGTTGTTAAGTATATCTAAATATAATAATAATAATAATATATAATATATAATAATAATAATAATAATACATCTCTAATATCCCTTGGGGAGAGCCTGATATTCAGAAACGAAGCCCAGACACTTGGGCCTAATGTGTATGTGTGCTGTCGTTAAGTATATCTAAATATAATAATAATAATATATATATATAATAATAACAATAACAACACATCTCTAATATCCCTTGGGGAGAGCCTGATATTCAGAAACGAAGCCCAGACACTTGGGCCTAATGTGTATGTGTGCTGTCGTTAAGTATATCTAAATATAATAATAATAATATATATATATAATAATAACAATAACAACACATCTCTAATATCCCTTGGGGAGAGCCTGATATTCAGAAACGAAGCCCAGACACTTGGGCCTAATGTGTATGTGTGCTGTCGTTAAGTATATCTAAATATAATAATAATAATATATATATATAATAATAACAATAACAACACATCTCTAATATCCCTTGGGGAGAGCCTGATATTCAGAAACGAAGCCCAGACACTTGGGCCTAATGTGTATGTGTGCTGTCGTTAAGTATATCTAAATATAATAATAATAATAATAATAATAATAATAATAATAATAATACATCTCTAATATCCCTTGGGGAGAGCCTGATATTCAGAGATGAAGCCCAGACACTTGGGCCTAAGGTGCATGTGTGCTGTCATTAAGTACATCTAAATATAATAATAATAATAATAATAATAATAATAATACATCTCTAATATCCCTTGGGGAGAGCCTGATATTCAGAGACGAAGCCCAGACACTTGGGCCTAAGGTGCATGTGTGCAGTTGTTAAGTACATCTAAATATAATAATAATTATAATAATAATAATGGTAACAACAATAATAATAATACATCTCTAATATCCCTTGGGGAGAGCCCGATATTCAGAGACGAAGCCCAGACACTTCGGCCTAATGCGCATGTGTGCTGTCATTAAGTACATCTAAATATAATAATAATAATAATAATAATAATAATAATAATGACAACAACAACAACACATCTCTAATATCCCTTGGGGAGAGCCTGATATTCAGAAACGAAGCCCAGACACTTGGGCCTAAGGTGCATGTGTGCAGTCGTTAAGTGCATCTAAATATAATAATAATAATAATAATAATAATAATACATCTCTAATATCCCTTGGGGAGAGCCCGATATTCAGAGATGAAGCCCAGACACTTGGGCCTAAGGTGCATGTGCGGTGATACTATGTTCCTAGTAAATAGAATAATAATATATAATAATAATAATAATATAATACATCTCTAATATCCTAGGCCCTTGGGAAGACCCTGAGATTAAAAGAGACAAAGCCCAGACATTTGTGTCTGATACGCATGTGCACTGTGTCGTTATGGACATGTAAATACAATAATATATAATGATAATAAATAGAATAATATATAATAATATTTAATATAATAATAATACATTTGTAATATATTAGGCCCTTAGGAAGAGCCTGATATTCAGAGACGAAGGCTGTACACTTGGACCTAAGGTGCATGTGCGCTGTGATGCTATGTACATATAAATATAATACTAATAATAATAATTATAATAAATAGAATATATAATTATAATATAATAATACCTCTAATGTCCTAGGCCCTTGGGAAGAGCCTGGAATTCAGAGATGAAGGCCAGGCACTTGGGCCTAATGTGTATGTGTGCTGTCGTTAAGTATATCTAAATATAATAATAATAATAATATAATTATAATAAATAGAATAATGTATAATTATAATAATACCTCTAATATCTCAGGCCCTTGGGGAGAGCTTGATATTCAGAGAAGAAGCCCAGACACTTGGGCCTAATGTGCTTGTGTGTTGTGATGTTATGGACATGTAAATAAAATATTATATATTTATAATAAATAGAATAATATATAATAAATAGAATAATATATAATTATATCAATACCTCTAATATCCCAGGCCCTTGGGGAAAGCCTGATACTCAGAGACGAACCCCAGACACTTGGACCATATGTGCTTGTGCTGTGATGTTATGCACATGTTTCAAGGCGGAAGCTGGGTGGTCATCTGTCAGGAGGGATCGGGTGGTGTCTTTATGGCAAAAAAGGGTTGAGACTGGATGGGTTATGTTATGTATATATAATGAAAGAGTAATAATAACGTTGGGGTTCTAAGAGATCCCTTCCAAGTCTTGCGATGCTATGGTCAGCATTCCTTCTCTGGACGGTTTGATGGCCATCTGTCGAGAGGGATCGGATGGTGTCCTTATGTTATGTACATATCCATATAATGAAAGAGTAATAATAATGTTGGGGTTATAAGAGATCCCTTCCAAGTCTTGCAATGCTATGGCCGGCCTTCTTTCTCCAGAAGGTTGGATGGCCATCTGTCAAGAGGGATCGGATGGTGTCCTTATGTTATGTACATATACATATAATGAAAGAGTAATAATAACGTTGGGGTTCTAAGAGATCCCTTCCAAGTCTTGCGATGCTATGGTCAGCAGTCCTTCTCTGGACGGTTGGATGGCCATCTGTCAAGAGAGATCAGATGGTGTCCTTATGTTATGGACGTATACATATAATGAAATAGTATTAATAACGTTGGGGTGATAAAGAAATCCCTTCCAAGTCTTGCAATGCTATGGTCAGCATTCCTTCTCTGGACGGTTGGATGGCCATCTGTCGAAAGGGATCGGATGGTGTCCTTATGTTATGTACATATCCATATAATGAAAGAGTAATAATAACGTTGGGGTTATAAGAGATCCCTTCCAAGTCTTGCAATGCTATGGCCGGCCTTCTTTCTCCAGAAGGTTGGATGGCCATCTGTCAAGAGGGATCGGATGGTGTCCTTATGTTATGTACATATACATATAATGAAAGAGTAATAATAACGTTGGGGTTCTAAGAGATCCCTTCCAAGCCTTGCAATGCTATGGTCAGCATTCCTTCTCCGGAAGGCTGGATGGCCATCTGTCGAGAGGGATCAGATGGTGTCCTTATGTTATGTACATATACATATAATGAAAGAGTAATAATAACGTTGGGGTTCTAAGAGATCCCTTCCAAGTCTTGCAATGCTATGGTCAGCATTCCTTCTCTGGACGGTTGGATGGCCATCTGTCGAGAGGGATTGGATGGTGTCCTTATGTTATGTACATATCCATATAATGAAAGAGTAATAATAATGTTGGGGTTCTAAGAGATCCCTTCCAAGTCTTGCAATGCTATGGCCGGCCTTCTTTCTCCAGAAGGTTGGATGGCCATCTGTCAAGAGGGATCGGATGGTGTCCTTATGTTATGTACATATACATATAATGAAAGAGTAATAATAACGTTGGGGTTCTAAGAGATCCCTTCCAAGCCTTGCAATGCTATGGTCAGCATTCCTTCTCCGGAAGGCTGGATGGCCATCTGTCGAGAGGGATCAGATGGTGTCCTTATGTTATGTACATATACATATAATGAAAGAGTAATAATAACGTTGGGGTTATAAGAGATCCCTTCCAAGCCTTGCGATGCTATGGTCAGCATTCCTTCTCTGGACGGTTGGATGGCCATCTGTTGAGACGGATCGGATGGTGTCCTTATGTTATGTACATATACATATAATGAAAGAGTAATAATAACGTTGGGGTTATAAGAGATCCCTTCCAAGCCTTGCGATGCTATGGTCAGCATTCCTTCTCTGGACGGTTGGATGGCCATCTGTTGAGACGGATCGGATGGTGTCCTTATGTTATGTACATATACATATAATGAAAGAGTAATAATAACGTTGGGGTTATAAGAGATCCCTTCCAAGCCTTGCGATGCTATGGTCAGCATTCCTTCTCTGGACGGTTGGATGGCCATCTGTTGAGACGGATCGGATGGTGTCCTTATGTTATGTACATATACATATAATGAAAGAGTAATAATAACGTTGGGGTTATAAGAGATCCCTTCCAAGCCTTGCGATGCTATGGTCAGCATTCCTTCTCTGGACGGTTGGATGGCCATCTGTTGAGACGGATCGGATGGTGTCCTTATGTTATGTACATATACATATAATGAAAGAGTAATAATAACGTTGGGGTTATAAGAGATCCCTTCCAAGCCTTGTGATGCTATGGTCAGCAGTCCTTCTCTGGACGGTTGGATGGCCATCTGTCAAAGAGAGATCGGATGGTGTCCTTATGTTATGGACGTATACATATAATGAAATAGTATTAATAACGTTGGGGTTCTAAGAGATCCCTTCCAAGTCTTGCAATGCTATGGTCAGCATTCCTTCTCTGGACGGTTGGATGGCCATCTGTCGAGAGGGATTGGATGGTGTCCTTATGTTATGTACATATCCATATAATGAAAGAGT